CACACACACACACCTGACACACACTCACACACACACACAGACTCATACTCACACACACACACCTGACAGGACATGATCGTGACGTGCCATTTAAACAGCTGATCTGAAGTGAGGTAATTCAAAGTTCTCAACATGAAACACCAGAAGCAGCAGGTGGAGATCTGACCTGAAACATCAAAGACACTGATCAGGACATCAAAGTTATTTTCAGATAACTTCAGTTCTTTTTAATGACGATGACGAAGGTTGTTGGTTTGAATCCCGGCCCGGTCGTGGTCCATCTTCTATCTCCATCACTTCATCTCTTGTTCTGGGTCTATTGACTCCAGCTCCACCCATGATGGAGGGATGAATGGATAGATAGATACATGGATGAGTAGATGGATGTTTAACTTGTGAATGGAGTGCGTCACTGAGATCCGTCAAAGTGGAGAGAACGGGTTGAATGTATTCATAATGCAGAGACAGACGCACGTGGGTCAGAAGTACTGCAGCCGTTAGAAGTGCACATACAGTCACGTGACCATGTTGAACCCTGACCTTTGTGTTTTTATTCTCTAACCCACCAGAACATCAGAGACACATCTAAGGCAGCGACTCTGATCCACCTCTGGGATGAAGGACACGCAGACTGACCTTTGACCCCTCATGGAATAAAAATGGCACTTCGGCTGAGACAGGGGAGAAAGCGAGTCATCTCACTCTCGGGGAATTCTGGGAATTTAATAAACGTGTTAAGCTGAAGCAGGACTGGATGAGCCTGGTGTTTTCCTTATTTCATTGGGGCTGATGTTGTTCAGTGAAGATGGAATAAAGTCAGAAATGTTCCTGAAGAAAAACTGATCTCAGAATAAAGTTTGAGTGGAGGATGGAGCAGGATTTTACACAGTAGAAGTAAAAGAGGAGTGAGCACTAACCTGGACTAACATTAGCCAGTGTGGGTGAACATTTAAACTCTTTAACACGCAGTTAAAACCCAGATCAACTCTGGAACTTTCATCCTGGAACCACAAACCTTCCATCGCTCATCGAAGTTAAAAAGTGGAGTTTCCCTTTATCTGTAAAAACAACTTGAAACATGGCCGCCACCGGGAGGAAACACTTTGTGAGAGACTTTAATCATTTCATCACGTGTTACCTGTGTCGAGGTTACCTGATCAAACCCACCACCGTCACCGAGTGCCTGCACACCTGTGAGACACACACACACACACACATTCACTTTCTATTCCGATCTTCTCTTTTGAAATCTGTAAATATTTGACACTTTAAGAGTTTTTTGTAAAATGACTAAAATCTAAAAGTTCTTTAGTTGCTTGGTGAATTGATGAATCAAAAACTCATCTCAGCTGTAATTGATATCATACTATTCAGTTACTGGAGTGAAAACATGTTAAAAACATGTACAAACATTAAAACAGTTTTAGTTGTTGTGTTGAGGATGTAAATGATGACGTCTGTGTAATCATCAGAACCCTGTTGTTATCTCTGCAGTTTGTAAGAGCTGCATCGTTCAGCACTTTGAGGACAGTAATGATTGTCCCAGATGTGGCATCCAGGTCCATGAGACCAACCCACTGGAGATGCTCAGGTCAGCTTCTTCTTCTTCTTTGTTTGTATAAAGTCACAGCTTCACTTTCATTCTCCTCCTCCTCACGCTCTCGTCTCTCCGTCCTCTCAGGTTGGACAACACCCTGGAGGAGATCATCTTCAAGCTGGTGCCCGGACTCAGAGAAAGTGAGTTCTGCACATAGTTTCATCAGTTCCAGATAAATTATGTGACTATTCACTGGAGGTAGGACAATAAGTTAGTGAATGGCAGCGCTTTAATCAAACATAAATTACTGTGCATGAAAAGTGTGTTTTGTCCCATCTGCTAACATGGAGGAGACAGGGTTTATGACCCATACTGCAGCCAGCCACCAGGGGGTGATAGAGATGATTTGACTTTTGGGAGCCGTCATGACGTCCATCTTTCGTCCATCGTCTCAGAAACGATAACATACATTAAGACGAGATAAGACAAGTTTAGAAACAATAAGTTGAGAGAATCCTGTTTGGTCCCAGTCCGGAGGTATTGATCAGATCTGACGGCCGTCACGTGACCAACTGGATTTCTCCTCAGACTGGCGGTTCTGAATCGTACATTTGTCAGCGTCACATTACTTCTCAGAGCGGTGGAGAGTTTAAACAAGATGAAGTCAACACGTGTAACTGAAGCTGTGATCACACGTTAACTTTAACATGTAACGTTCATGTTCCAGAACATGTCTCGTCTTCATCGCGTCCTCATTCATTTGAGTGAAGAGACACTGAGAACACAGATCTTGTTGAGGACACATTTAACCTCCGGTCAAACAGACATCGTGTGAATGTGTCTGAGCTCTGTGGTAAAAGTTTGATTCATCTGATTGTCACACAGAAGAGGAGCAGCGAGAGCTGGAGTTCTGGAGGAGGAGCCAGAGAGAAAACGGTCAAGGTAAAGTGAGACTGAAGCTTTTTCTTTTTTAAATGTGTTGTTAAAAAGTTTCTAGAACTTTCAATTCAGCTTCATTTAACTAAAAACAGTTTGTGTTTCTCAGACAGAGGCAACGATTCTGTAGTCTGCGATTAATCGTGTGTGTGTGTGTGTGTGTGCAGAAGCCCTGAGGCGTCAGAGGTTTGGGCTTCCTGATGTCGGAGGTGACGACGGTGGTGCTGGTGGTGAAGACGATGACGGCGAAGGTGGCGATGACGACTACCACAGGAGTGACCCTCAGATCGCCATCTGTCTGGACTGTCTGCGGAACACGGGGCCGTCAGGAGAGAGCTCGGTCTCTGTGCGTGTTTTCATTCATGATCATTTCAATCAATGCAGGATATTGATTTTGATGGTTTGAATCATCACCATCAGAACTTTGAAAAACTGAATTTGTTCTTTGGTCTTTTGAATTCATGTTTAAAATCTGAATCTCATTAAATCCTATGTGAACACACTTGTCTCACTCAATCAGGATCTGATGAAGAGGTTCATCCGCTGCTCCAGTCGCGTTACCGTGGGAACAATTAAGAAGTTTCTCAGTCTGAAGCTGAAGCTGCCGAGTTCTTATGAGGTGAGAACGTGACGCATTTAAAGGCTCAGTACGTAACGTTACCTTGTTTTTACATTTTCATTTCATCAGTGTTTTATCTGGAGTTGTGTAACATTTCCAGACGTCTGGATCTGAAGAGAAACAAGCTGAGAAAACGACAGCTTGACTCACTGCCGCTCAGATAATGAACGCAGGAAAAGTAAAAATGTGTGTGTGTGTGTGCGTGTGCGTGTGCGTGTGTGTGCGTGCGTGCGTGTGCGTGTGTGTGCGTGCGCAGACTGAAGTGAAACTGGTTTCACTCAGCCTCCCACTCGTAACCAAATCAACTTCCTCTCCTCCGTCATGTTGTTCATCAGCTCACATTTTCATTTTGAGCCTGATGTAAAACTCGTATTTGATTTTCTTTATTTCTCACGGTGTGTGTGTAGCTGGACGTTCTGTGTAACGGAGAGATCATGGGCAGAGATCACACTCTGGAGTTCATCTACATGACGAGATGGAGGCTCCACGGAGAAAACGTAAGTCTCCCTCACTTCCTGTTTGTGTGTCTGCATGCTAATGTGCAGAGACAGCGGGACAGGAAATCACTTTTGTGTGACTCATCTTCTCGAGGTTAAACCTGTTTGAAGATCTGCTTTTTGTCCCCATGAAGAAGACACGTCCCCATAATGTGACTCTGTAAGGTCCCCACGACATGAGTGATACCTGAACCACACACACACACACACACACACACACACACACATCATTATTCTGATGAAGTTGATGTTTGTAGTTTGTTCCCTCTCTCCTCAGCTGCAGCGTCTTTGTGTTTATCAGTTTATTCTAAGAGGCAGAACAGAGGGTTGTTGTTTCCCTGAACATTTAAAGTTCATGATGTTTTTAAAGTTAAAAATGACTCAGTCTCCTCCTGAGAAAATGAGCTGGAGCAGAAGAACTGATGAACGACTCGTATCTTCTCTCTCTCTCTTTCTCTGTCCCTCTCTCTCGTCCTTTCCTGGGCTTCAGTCAAACTCAACATTTCTCTGAGACTCACAGAAATCAGACTGATGATGATGATGTTGGATCCTCAGAGGGAGGAGGAGGAGGAGGAGGAGGAGGAAACACATTAGATTTTTAATTCATCAGACCTTGTGACGTTCACTTTTCTTCTTCTGTATGAGGAACACCTCCTTTTTAAAACTGCTACGTCTCCCATTTCCTCCTCCCATCATCCCTCCCATTATTTCTCCTTTCAGTCACTATGTGTTGAGATACATGCACAGACTCACACACCAGCAACAACCGATTCGTAGATAAAGATGACACACACACAACCACCACCGAGGCCGAGAACGTTGTTGTTTCACATCATCAAACAACTTAATCAGAGTCTGACTGATCCGACTCCACAGATCAGATCATGATCTGCTGCAGGTTGAACATGTGACTGAACCATGAGAGTGACATGTTCTCTTTTGATCTGGAGACGTGATGCAGCAGAACCAGGAGACAACACTCGTCACTGAGCAGCTGCTCACAAACTGTCTGAATCTTTTATGAGGAGGCTTCCTCCACTGTCTCTGAGAGAAGAGGCAGAAACGTACGAATACTGAGCGTCTCCGTCATTTAACCAAACACGGAGTCACAGGAGAGGTCAGGGGTCAGATGACGACATGGAAATCACACATCTGACCTCCACGTGTTTCAGGTGTGTTTTTTATGACATTATTATTTTATCATTCTATTCTTTCTCTTCCTCAGACGTATCCCATGGTCCTTGAGTACCGGCCACGCATCGACTTCGGCTGAACCACGGCTGCAAGAGGAGGAACACGCACACACACACACACACACAATGCCCACAATGTGCAGAGAGAGATTCAGATGTATTTTTGTACAGATGATGATGAAGTGCAGATGTTGCTATGGTAACAGAGGTCAGAGGTTTTATGCTACATAGAATAATATATATGCGATAATATAAGATATTTTTAAATGTACGTCCCTGTGCCTAAAAACCTTTGATCATATCTTCACTTTGCCTGTTTATCTTTAACTCTGTAGATTAAATGTTGATTTTCTACCGCTGATGTTGCGTTTGTGTTTTTTATTATGTCTCTGCACTGGCGACATCTAGTGGCCATCTCTTATATCTCAGGAACATTCAGTTGGACCCATGAGATTCTCCAGGTCAAAGGTCACAGTCATGGTGACCTCTAGAAACATGTTTTTGGCTTCTTGAAGTTCAGTGAATTTCTAATGTCTCCGTGCATCAAAGAGACGTCATGTGGAAATAAGATGTCTGTGGTCTGACACTGAAGCGTCCACAGGAAGTGATTCTAGTTTCCTAGAAACAAGTTTTTCTTCAGGAGGCATCTGAACATTTTGAAGATTTTTGTCTCAGTTGAAACGAAACAAAATCAAAATCAGTCTGATCGAACTTCCTGTTTCTGAACAAAGATGAGGTCAATGTACGTCCTCATCTGTGTCCTGGTTTCTGAAGGACGTCAACTGTCACACTGAACCAGGTCGTTGGACTCATGTCGGGGGTGACGGTCTGTGCACCGTGTCATGGCATCCAGTTTCTCGTGAACTGGTCGTGGCGTCGGTTTGTGCGGCTCATGGTGCTCGACCAAGTGTGGAGGTTCTGCTCATGTGACGAGCAGCTGATGTCAGCTCGTAAAGGACAGGCTGATGATGAGGTCAGACAAAAAAAAAAAGATGTCTGATGTCACATGATGTTATTTATATGATGTAAGTTTTTTAAAGTAACTGCATGAGGTGTGTGTGTGAGTGTGTGTGTGTGTGTGTGTGTGTGTGTGTGTGTGTGTGTGTAAGTATATCAGCTGATGTAAAGTGTAATAGCATGAGTTTAAATTCCTTCACTGTATAGTGACTTTATCTGTGAGACATGATATGTGTGTGTGTGTGTGTGAGTGTGTGTGTGAGTGTGTGTGTGGGTGTGTGAGTGTGTGTGTGTGTGTATATTTCCAGATTCCGTCACCTCCTCTCTGGTCACATGTCGTCTCTGTCGCCCTTTGAATGAGATTTAACAACCTGAATGATTGTGGCTCCGCCCCCTGAAGGTGAATAAAGTAAAAGTACGTAAACTCGTTCACAAAAACACTTTCCATGTCAGTTTCCTGTGAGGCTGTGAGTTTATGTAGGCGATGACATCATTGATCTGTCGCTGATCATGATGACCTCAGAGGTCAAAGACCAAAATAAATCAGAGGGCCGATGACATGTTTTTTATTTGCAGTTATATTCTATATATAATTATCTTTTAGAACTTTTAAAGCTGTGTTAAAATTTCTGTGGATAGGTTTGAGACCCCCCCTCATCATTTAGAAACAAATATACATAAAGTGTTTACACCTGATTGTTTCATCAGCAAGTTCAGAAATCTCTCACCTTCATCTCTTCGTGGCGACTTGATGTGTCACGTATGTCGTGTTCGTGACATACAAGGATTCCAGAGGAGCGACAGCGTGGCTGCAGACGAGCTGCAGGTCAGAGGTCGCTCACACTGAGGGCGGAGTCAGGTGGAGTCTGCAGTGTGTGTGATTTCTGATACTAGTGCACGTGGCCGACAGAATGTGCACGGTGATGAAGTTTAACTCCAGACGGAGCTTCATGATATTAAACGGTTTTATGTGTGAATTAAAAAAACCAAAGTCTGTAAAGGGAGGAGCTCAGTATTCACGACCCCGCCTCTTAAAGAGACAGGAGCTAAAACCAAGAGTTTGAGACAGAGGCTGAAAAGAGGAGCAACAGCATCAGACAGAGAGGAACTCTACAGCATGAAAACATTTTACAGTCATCACAGTGATTAAAGTGTTTCTGCTGGTTTGTGTTGCAGGATGATTTAAAGAGCTTCTCTCTCCTGCTGCGTGAAACTGTGACGACAGAACAGACTCCTGCCCCCTACAGGAGCCTGTGGAATTACATTCATCTCTAAATCTTCTGTGTAACAGTTTATTTCAGCTGCTGTCTCCCTGCTGCTTCTTCTAATGCAACCAATCTGATGTGTGTGTGAGAGTGTGAGTGTGTGAGTGTGTGTGTGTGTGTGTGTGTGTGTGTGAGCGTGTGTGTGTGTGTGTGTGTGTGTGTGAGTGTGTGTGTGTGTGTGTGTGTGTGTGTGTGTGAGTGTGTGTGTGTGAGTGTGTGAGTGTGTGTGTGAGAGTGTGTGTGTGAGTGTGTCACTGAGCCACAGGTGTTTCTCAGGAATAGAAAATGACATAATGCTCTGACAGGCAGTGTGATGACACAGAGGTGTGTGTGTGTGTGTGTGTGTGTGTTTTATGGCAGCAGGTGTGTGACAGCATGTTGTACATATGTCAAATATGCTGTTTTTTCAATGTCAGGGTAACTGTGTCTGAGTAGGCCATTGTGTGTGTGTGTGTGTGTGTGTGTGTGTGTGTCTTTGTTGAGTTTAGTTTGTGTCATGTGACACGGGGGTTCAGGGTTTTGTCTCTTTAACACATTTAAAGTGTTTGATCCTTTGAAACAACACAGACCTTTGTTTTATCTGTAAGCCTGTGATCTCTGGTAGGTGCGTTTCATTCGGTCGCCTGTAGGTGTCGTCATATCAGTGTGTTTGTCTGCTAGAGGTGTCTTTATATAAAACTCCCATGATCCTGTGCTGCTTTATCACATCTCTAGCTATTGTTTCTGTCGACTGTGAATAAAGATGGATGACATGACAAAGTGAGGCCAATTCATCTGGATCGCCCCCTGGTGGCTGGCTGAAGTAAAGGTCGTAAACTGCGATGGGACATGAACCGAACTAAAAAAACACATAGTCCATCTTTATTGACAGTCTATGGTCATTGTTGTGATTGAGTGACCCCTAGTGGCATAAAGTGACACATTGTCCTTTTAGAGTAGAGTCAGTGGTTTGTGTTTGTCGGTGTCTGACACTAGTCTAACACTAGAGGTGCTACACTTTTATTTTGTGTTATTTGGGTGTTTGATGTCAAAC